AGCTGTGGCTGCCTACCCAGTGACATAACGCTCGTTAAGAATGGCACTGAGACAAACCAAAGGTGGTTTTTGCCTGTTCGCATGTTTAAGTATTTTTGAAGTGTTTTCTTCTGTTGACAGTTCAACATAATTGTTTTGGAAACAGAAATAAAGCATTCGGGACATATAGTTAATGGAGCGTAGCTTTAACCTAGCCACAAACGCTGTCAGACTGTAAAGCAAATTCATCTCCTATTTGGCTTCTGTAAGAGACGCTTTTTTACCATTTCTGCTGACATTTCTGATATATTACGGCACCAGTCCCATCACAGCACAAGCATTTGCACTTCAGAGACCCCGTTTTTGTCTGCAATCTTCAGGCATTTTATCTGATCAGTAATAATAGAGACGAGCCCATAATAAAACTGTCCACTATAATTTTTCCTGTTTTTAAAGAATTCTGTATGTAGACTTCTAAAAGTAGTTTACTTTATACCTGAATGTTTTATCGCAATTGTAATATTCACAAGGCAACACCCATAAACAAAATGTGTGACTGTTGATCCTTGAAGGAGTTCTGGTTGGTTGTGTAAAATCACAGCATTCATGTAAATAGGTATATAAACATTTATAAACACGCTGTACTGTTCTTCCAACCATGGTAATTTCACAGGGGCTATTGTTCTTGACATATATTAAATGGCAAATGCTTGTTTACATCTACTTAGTGATTTGTAAGTATGCACTTTCTCCTCTTAGAATGAGTTATAAACTGTGCTTGCCTCAAAGATGTGCTCAAATTTGCTGCTAGCGGTCAGAAGGTTTTAGAGTTGCTGCTATGCCAATGTTTGTGTTGTGGTGCTGTTACATTCTGCATTTCGTAAGGAGCCTTGGTTAGGCTCTGAGTAACCCAACAGCCTCTGACTTGAGGCAAAATCAGTCCAAAGCTGAGATGTTTATTTTTCTTTTTATTAAAAACAACGTAGAAACACCATGTTCTGGTGCAACTTAAATGCTGGTTTTGGCTTGGAGATTTGCCGGAGACCAGTGGGGACAACGTTAGCCAGGGTTTGAGTATTCGTACAGCAGTTTTTCCTTCTCTGTTTGTTACCTCTTAACCACATCTATAATAGTTTTTTCCCTCTCCCTTGCCTATCTTTCTCTGAGGTTAAATTTTATAAAGAATCATTTCCTTCCAACGCATGACATTAGCATATACCTGATTTCAGAGGCCTTCTCTAACTTCAATTATTTCCATACCAAGAACAAATTTGCATCGGTAGTTATTATTTGCTTATTTTACCCTGACCAAGGCTATTTATTTTAATTAAGTCCATGTTTCCCTGGTCAGCTTCAAACGAACGCAGAGTTTTAAAGTACTGCAATAACAACGGATCGTAGGTATTTAAGATTACAAGGATAGCATTGGGTCCTAAATATATTCCAGGTGCTTGGATGCCATTTGATTTCTGAATTTTTGTTTTTTTCCCATTCACCTTTATCCTGTCTTAAAACTTTCTGAAATGTGTCATGTAGATGACTTGACTTGCTGGAGTTTGAGCGATTCAGTAGCTACATTGGTGAAAGATAAAATAATAAAACAAAAGTGAGATGAGGAGAGGTGATTGCTGCTTGGAGTGCCATCACGGCATCATTGACATCATTGACATACATACAGTCAAACATGGAACGCTCCTGAGAGAATATTTTGAAGCTTTTTTTTTTTTTTTTTTTTTAAAAAAAAAAAAGATACAGACATGCCAAAAATTGGAGTTCCCCAAAACATCAGCTCTCTTTATTTTTCATTAAGGATTCTTGTGTAAGAATATATAACTTCTCATAGTCTGTGGTAATACCAAACTTCAAAATTTTGCTGCAGCAATGTTGCTGTATTTTCCTGTATTTCCTAATCTTTTAAGACTTACGATGTGCCGTTACTTTGCAGATATTCTTTTTATTAGCAATTTACAATTGTCCTTTGCCATTTCCAGCTGGACGCTGTTTCTTACAGACTGTGGACCTTTTGGAACTGTGTAATAACTTTTTGGGTGATTGTGAGCTATTTCTGAGTTAGCAGAATCTGCTTAACTTTGGTAGGAATGTCCTTGCTTTCTACGTTTTCATACCAGTTTTTTTCTGATTATAAAGTGGGGGAGAAAGGGAGGCCAATTTGTATGCACTTGTACATAGAGATGCTTATTCTTAGAGCAGCAGTGCTGCTGTCCTCGTGTTTTACTTGACTTTTCATCAAAATCAAAAATAAGTCTGCCAAGATTCTGTCCTGAAATCTCTCTAGAGTAGACTTGACTCAAGAACGTCAGCTGAGCTCTGAATAGCTCTTTCAAAAATAGGACATCGTGATTTAGAGATGTGGATTTTCTTTTTTTTCTTCTTTTTTTTTTTTTTTTCCCCCCAAGGTTGTAAATTTAAGTATCTGAGGTCTGAACTGTCTATGGACATTTCTTTCTAGGACTTGGAGCACACTCAGTCTGCATATGCCTGTGGCCTTTATTAGGCCAAGCTGAAGAAACTAAATAAGTCTCTTGAACAACCTGTTTCCATTTTTGAGGTGTAAGATGTTGGAGGCACGTGACAGTAAGTGTCACCTCGTGCAATAATAATGCCATGTGCTTAAAATTAAAAGCAATGGGGCCCAATGCTTTTAGGGTCTCCTCTGAATGTGGGAGGAAAAAATGGTGAAATATTGATATGTTTGCATCCTCAAAAGCATCCAGCAAGCTTGATGATCTTTTGGTTTGTTTAATAATAACTATCTGGGCAACGTGGAGGTGCTCAGCCTTGATTTAAAAGTAGTCAGCTAGAATATAGTATGGTGGAAGCAGCTTCTGTCCTTTGAAGATGCTGTTGCAGAATCCAGAATGACTTCTGAGTTGGCTATGTGGAAGTGGCATTTTGGTTACTTGGGTAAGTAAAGGAGGAAAAAGCCACTTTTGACCAGCACAAAGTCTTGCGCATGATTCTGGGAGGGGGTTCCTTTTTTTCCTTTCTCTTTCCTTGAGAACTAGCTGCTCTTTTCCTCCAGCAGTTACATGCTTTCCAATTCATTGGTAACATGTTTATGAGCCTGAAGCTTCCTTTTCCTAGCAGCACAACAGGCTTTTAAACAGAAAGTTGGCCAAATGGATTGAGATCTCTGCTAACAATTCTGGTGTCCTCTTGTGGGTGGAAACGATACCCCCATTAGGAAAAGTCTGAAATTCTTACTTGAGCTGTTTCCCCTGGAGCTAGGGACAGAGGCTGTTACAGGAGGAGGAAGATGGGCACACGTTCATGGTACGTAGATCCTGTTGCTTGGCCTGGATTCAGTGACTCACGTAATTATGAGCTGTCCTGTCAGACTGATGATTGTCCAGCTGAAATACAAACACAGTCCCCCAAATTCGCACTACCACATGGAGCCCTGTGCTCGATGTGTGGTATTTATGTGCTTCCTGAAGCTGCTGCACGTTGCAGCTGATGGCCTGCACTGGCCAGGGTGGCAGGAGCCAGACATCAACCCAGATCAGGACAAGGGAAGGCTTCTCATCATCTTTAACCCCTGAACGAGGGGTGGAGTAGTGAATGTGCTGCGCCATCCTCCCCTGCCCTTTATATTTTCATAGCATTCTTTTAATAGCGAGCTTTAGTATTAAAATCCCTGGAAAGCAAAAAGTCAGAGGTGATCTCCTTGGTCTTTGGGAAGAAGAAAGGAGCTCTGCTTGATGTGTAAGGGAGCCTTGATACAATCTGGAGTAAGTTCAGACCTTGGAGAAATTTCTTTCTTTTACAATACCTAACAAAACTTTTCTGTTAGTGGCAACTCCACATCCTTTTGCTGTGGATTAGCAGAGTGTGATCCCAAAGGATGTCTGTATGCCCTGAGCTGGTGGTTTGGTTTTGTGCTGTGAATTAGACCCTGTCCATACGTTTGTGTTTTAATACATGCTGGGTCCGTGGAAGAAAATGACAGCACAAGCCCAGCACTGTGCCGCCAGGCGGATCGGGCTGTGGTAGTGCTGGAGCTGTGAAGAGGGGGGGAAGCAGTCTGTTTGTTTGGCTTGGAATGAGATACAGGGCGTTTGTAACCACAATGGGAAGTTATAAGCAGAAACTGGCAATGAAATCCGAGTCAAGTGCTTTGCTTGGGAAAATTGACAGCACTTAAACCCTTTTTATACAATAGCTTGTTTTTATAATGCTGTAACTCTCTCCCTGTTTCATGCTTCTGTTGCTAGGAAGTTCATTGTATTTGTCACAATGTTTTTTAATGTGAAGGAATATTTTTAAATAATTCAGTTCTGGGCTACAGAAATATGTTAATTCTCTTTATTGGAGCAATAAAACAGTTTTATATAACTTTCTAATGTTACTCATTCTAAATATGCTCTGGAATTCATCCAAACCTGTCTTTGTTCATCCAGACCTGTCTTGGCCAGTTTATTCTTCTGATTTTGTTTTGATTTGTTCTGTTTTTATTTTTTTTTTGGTTTGTTGGTTTGTTTCTTTGTTTTGTTGTTTGTTTGTTTGTTTTTTTGTTTGTTTTTTTTTTTCCTCCCCTGCTGGCCACGTACCTAGAGCATTATTAGAGAAGGCCATTTACTGGGAGATGTTCTGCTGGGCACTGGGTTTGGATGCTGGCTCTCTGCTGCCTCTTGCAATTAAACATCAGTTTTAATAAGCAGAACTTCTCCCATAGGGTCACTTCTCCAAAGTACTGTAAAGCACAAGGCTGAAGCAGGAAGAGTAAAAAAATAAAATAAAATAATTTTATGCAAATTACAGCTTAATAAAGCAAATGCAAGATTCTTGCTTGGGAGGCTGTGCATACGTGATTATCAAATTAATGTACATTTGTATGTTTTAATGTTAATGGGATTAAGCTTGCTTGTTTAACAGGCATGGTCCCATAACAGTTCAACATTGTATATGCCCTATATGCATCCAAAGCTATGGAATAGTCTGTAATTACCTTTGTGAAGGCTGGTTGACTAATGCATGTACCAAATCTTTGTTTTTTTCAGATCTGCCTTGAGTGAAGTGTAACAAAAAATGCTACAGCGGTTTTGTCTCTGGAAGTCGTTAGCTGTAGGGATTGCACTTGCTACTGTCTTAGCGGGTTCCTTGGCCCAGAACGATGAAGGTAAGGCTTTTGCTGTGGGAGGGAGGGGATGATTCCTTTTTTATTTATTGAAAGAGTTACCTTACCTTGCTTTACTTGTAAACGGACAGTTACAGCACTGGGAACAGTGGTTTCAAATAATTCTTAATTTTTAATTCTTAAAAACAATACTTAAAAAAAAAATAAAGTGATGTTATAGGAAAGAGCATGAGCTATTGGTGCCACATCTGTTAAATTTAATTAAAAATACCAGAAATCTGTTCCTCCAGTTAATTGTAGTAACACAGAATTACAGACGGAGGTACCTTGGTCCATCTTCTGTTTCAAAATCTGCAGATTTGTACCTTTTTGTTACAGTTGCTTTAGAGGAAGGGAAAGATACTTGTCCACAGTTATATATGAAGCTATTGTTCATTAATGGTAATGTGCCTGTAATGCATAGTGGCTTCCTGACTTAGAAAGGCTGTGAAGCCTGTACCTCAGCAGTTATTGATCTGTTGATAATGCTGCCTGATGGGATCATGTGGTAGGAGAGAAGCCCTGCGGCTTCTTTGCTCTGTTTTAAGAGTCATCTGGAGTAATGAAAATTACATCAGTGACAGATAGCAATGGCAGCAGAAACTCAGCTGATTAGATTTTTGGTTTTCAAATTTCCGTGCACTGTTTTGACTTTTTATCTGCTGCTTCTGTTTAACGTTTGCAGTGATTCCATGAAAACTTGCTGATAAAACTTTCCTTCCTGTTACCAGGAAGTGGGGAAGACCTGAAAATACAGAATATTGTAAACAGGTCTAACTCTTGTGGACAACTTAGGGCTAACAATCTGTCTACTCCAACTGTCCACCTCTTTGAAGGCAGAACGCAGACACCATCAGGGTTTTTACGGGCTTCCCTTTAGTGCATTAACTTAGATTCTTGAAATGTGGTGTTTTGTGTTTAATGCAATGTTTCAGATGGATCTGTAGTGATTTTTTTTTTTTTTTTTTTTTTTTTTTTTTTATGTTTTGGCTTGTGCCATTGAATTTAGCACATAACCCAACCTGTTTTTTGTCACTCACAAGTTCTCTTGTTATACAGCCTGAACAGAGGGGGCCTTGATTTTCAGTGAATATCAGTTTGAATATAGCCAAGAGTACTGTTCCTTCACTGGGGGAAAGGTTCAGAAATGCCATTGCTTGAGGAATATGTAGCTGAACCACTTGTGATGCAAACTCAATAATTAATTTATTTTTTTTTACTGTATTCAGGGAAGTGAATTTAGCTACAAGTGTTCCTGTTATCTTTGTTCTCTGTATAAATGCCATAATGATATAATAAAGGGAAAAATACATGGAAGTTAATTTAAGCCAGGGTAGGGTACTGGTTATTCAACAAATATCATATAGCTAATTAGACAATGTATTTTAAAAAATCTTTTGAAATGTATTTCTTGAAGCTAAAAAGAAAGCTATGTTCCATACTTAACTCATTGCAGGAAAGTACTTTGGCATGACTTGTACCATACCAGTAGAGTTGCTTTAATTTACAATGTCACAATTTCTAATCTAACATATAGCAGATATGACAGATGCACTCTTTTAGCAATTGCAATATAAAAATAGCATAATTATTTTAACAGCACAACAATCATGAATACAAACAGGAAAATCAATTATGGCATAAATCATAACTTATTTATTTGCACCAAGCATGCAAATGATCTGTTTTCATGGTTGTAGCAGTACATATTTGGTTAGTTGCACACCCATGTTACTGTATTCTGCTCCATTAGCCATCAGTTTCTGTATTTTGGATGTTTTTGCTTGATGTCCTGAGCTATCAAATCTTTTCCTAGCCGTAGCAATTGACAATGTTACAAATTAACCTTAAAAATGTTATACCGGCCTGTCTTGGAAATATTTAGACTTCTTTCTTGCTACACTTAGAAGAGAGCTTTCCAAGACTCTTGTTTGTTCACTTGGCTCGCTGCCATTGTCTTGTTCCTGCCTTGACTTTATTCATGGTTAGCTGGCAGTGCCTGCGTAATCTTTCAGGTTCAGGTAACGTGTTTCCATCTCTGGTGTTCCTACTCTTCAGCCAAAGGATCGTTAGACAGCAATAATTCCCTGCTTCGGGTTCTGCTCACTAACCTACATGTAAACAAACGTGTTTCTGAAAGCTGCCCTTGCACCTGGGTTCTCCTTCCTCTCCTGATCCTGGAAGTCCTGCTGCGTCCACCTTTTGGCTGAAATGCCTCTCCCAAGTGTGCTGGCTGGCATTTGTGTTCGGATGGCCAAGTGGCCTCCTGCCAGCCCCTTGCTCTGCCAGTTGTGCTTTGCTGTTGGAGTTGCTTCCCCTACTGAAGCATATTTTGTGTGTTGAGATAGCAGGCAGGTCCATGGTGACATTATTTTTTTGTTGATGAAATGCAAATATTTTAAATCTGCTGTAGTCCCCTTATATTAAAAACAAACACCAAAATATATTAAAGGAAACATGTTCTTGTTAGAGTTACCACGTTTGTCTCGGTGTATGATTGGAAAATGCAGTGTTTTCTCCCGTGGATTTCATTGTCTGTGTTGTTGTATTGCTCAGCTGTATGGTATGCCAGAATAGATGTAAGGCTGGGTGAATGGGTACTGTGGTGGATATTTTTTCCTTTTAAAGAAAGAAATGTGGTTTTCTGTTTCTGCTGCCTCTAGTTTGCTCTTTTCCAAGCAGGAGAAATGCTGCATATTTGTGTGTTGCAATGCATTATATGTGTGTGTGTTATGTGTATATATACACACACACACATTTACAAAAGATGCATTTTATTTATCTTATATGTTATATTATTATATTATTTATTATATATAATATATATAATGTAAAATGTATCTTTTTCTTTAGGTAATACACATGGGTAAGTAAAAGTAGAAATGTCAGTTATAGCCTTGCAATATGTAAAGTTAGGCCAGCTACAGTGGCTTTTATGTTGTTGTTGTTTTTTTTTTAGTGATGCTCTGATAAATTCCAAGTCAAACTCTCAGGCTAAAAGAAGCAATGAGGAGGAAGGTGAAAGCCCAGGAAGCTCTTTTTTTTCTTAGGCATAGTGTATTTGACTAGACAAAAAAAAATTAGTAGCGATCTTTTGGTCAGCGGAGAAGGCTGCTGAATTTAAACACTGTGTGCGCTCTGTTGCCACAAACCAATCCAGCAGAAAAATTGACAATTAGCAGACTTTTGCTAATCTTTAGTGGTTTAGTCTTAATATATACCTGTCATAAAGGGCACAGCTGTGAACTGGGGGGGGGGGCTTTCGGTAATTGTTATCCCATCCTATTTTTTATTTACTTATTTGGCTTATTTACTTCCCAAAATATCAACATTTGAATTCCCCTTGCATTTGGTATTGAACCAATACTTACATTTCAATATTTGTTAAGATAGGAAGGATCTGTTTTGATTTTTTTTAAACATTTTTTTTCAAAAGTACAGGTGGACTTGAACTTTACACCAAAGCAGTATGATGTCATATTCTAATAAGCTTCCAGTTACAACTTTTTTGCTTTATTTTGACTGCTATAATCTCCTGTTCAGGAGATGCGCCATTGACAGCTGCTCTGTGGCAAATGTGATGGTCACTGACAGCTCAGTGGTTTTTGTTCACTTCTAATCTGCTAGCAGGATCTTCGAGTATGAGACTCTCTAGCAGGAATGCCTCTGCAGAGCAAAGATGACATTTTTGGGAAACTTGGAGACATGTATTGTTAGCATTTTTGTTGCAGTCCAAATTAACATGTAGATGGAGGGGAAAAAATTACCATTTCGGTTTGGATATAAGGTAGTATGTATTGCTTTTTTTCCTTAAGCCAACAAAGACCCTTGAAGGGCTGTATCAATGTTTCCTCCTCTATACTTCCATCTGTAGAAGTATAGGCTTGTCGGGAGCAAAGTACACAGTAGGGAGAAATCAAGGAAATAACTGACTTGCTTGAGGACTGTTCACTAGCTATCAAAAACATCACCCTGGTGTTTGATAAGAGCACAGCCGAGCGCTGCAGTCGGGTTGTGTTGAACACAGAGCAGCTTCAGAAACGTGGTGGTTTCTGAATACTTTCCCTTGGATGCAAAAGGATGCAAAACTGACCGCGTGGGCAGCCACCTGCACTAGCAGGATGCCAGGTGAGCCCGCCTGGCTGTGCTGAAGTTGTTGGAGAATCATCTCCTGCTGCACTTGAAAAGTGAAGTTGGTTAAATGAACGACTTCATTAAACTCTTGCTCTTATTAAACTCTTAATGCTGCCAGAAATCCAGTTGTTTGTGGAAATTTACTCTGCAAATATGTAAATAATTCAGAGTTTCAGGACGCAGAGTAGGGATGCAGATTTTCTCACTAAGTAATATTTAAAAACATTTTAAAATGTGAACGGATTCATGCAGTTACTCACGTAATTGCATATATTATCTTGGTTGAGCAAACTAAACAGTGCTCCTAGTCCTACTGGGTCAGACTGTACTTAGCTAGCCAGGGTCCTGGGGTGCTCCTGCTCTTCTATCTCCTTGCTTTGTGCTCCTGAATTCTTTTGCACATCAAACCAAAACCCCACTTGAAAAGTTGGAGTTGCTGGGTGGATTTTCCACTGGTTCAGTAAGCTGGGCTGTCCCACCTGCAGCTGTACAACGGCTGGGTCTGCAGCAGCTAGAGGGTGGTGGCAGTCCATTAGTCCTTGGTGCTGGCAGCTGAAATTAAATAATAAGGCTAATAAGAAGATTTTGTTAACTATGTGTTTCACTTCATAAGGGAAAACTTTTTTTTTTTTTTTTTCCCTCTCAGGATATAAGGAACAGCCTTACCTATGTAAATTGTCTTTATCATTACCCTGGATTGGAGGTTACATTTTAAATACGGATTTTCCTTTGAAAAGCACAACTGCGTGATTCACTTTGTCACCAGGACTGGGCAGACACAAGTTCTTTCAGCTGTTTTTGTGCTGCACAGGACCCATCTATTAGTTACTGTCTTTAATTTAGCCTAACATGGTCTTTGCTACAAAAAT